TTGTTGGAAGTCACACAGTTGGTGGTAATTAAGTTAGGGCAGCCCTAGGAATCAAATCTGAGAATGAAGAGATAGCTCAAAGGACAGGCACCAAGGTGAGGCAGGGCAGCACACAGGACAGAATGTCTCACGAGGCACTCACTCTTGGGTTCATACAGGCACAGGGTCAGCCCTGCATGAACCCAAGAGTCAGCCCCAGGCACCTACCTTGCCTTACTCCACTTGTAACCTGGTAGAGCCGATTTTAGAACAGAAGAACTGAAGCTAGCAAGACCAACAGGGAGAATATATTTCAAGAAAAGAGAGGTCAGTGGTGTCAAATATTAGAAAGACCAATAGACCACCACTAACAAGTGAAGACAATGTGGATGTTTAGTAGACATCCGTTTTAGTAAACATTGTGGGTGTTTAGTAGACATCTCTTTGAATTTTTATCTGTTTGTTCCTGACTTCCTTTGATGCCCATGCCTACCACCTGATTATCAGAGAAGAAGGAAAACCAGCAATATTCACGTGTTCAACTATTAACATATTGTACTTCAATTCTGAAAATAGCTTCTGAGCTAGGAGACATAATTCTCATGTCCTAGGTGAAAAACAGAGGTTCAGGGATAACCAGTGACTTTTCATTGTCTTAAAATGAGGGCTAAAACTCAGATTTTTGTGACTCCAGCCCAGCCACACCGCAATGGCTGAGTTTGTTGGTTAGCCCTTGACCTCACCCATAGGCTTTGAATTCCTGCTTTCTTCTAAGCACTGACTAATGAGCTCTTCACTATCTCGGGATCTGAGTAAGATTTATGGCATCAGTTGGATCATGGTCTATCAAAGAAGGAAAAGCTAGAAGAAACAATTGATTATAAAGAAAGGAAGAATTAGGTGAGAAATAAGTGGAAGAACAGACAACAATGAGGGAACACTCAATACCCACAACCTTGAATCTTCGTAAATAAGAACACACAACACAAAATCCATATGGGAGATGCTCTCACTTCTACATGAATTCATTCAGAGGCTACTTCTACCTCTGTTGGACCAAGTAGCTTTCTTATAGCTCTTTTTCTGTTGATCTTCAGAGTTTAAAATACCTCCAAAGCAAGCTGGAAAATAACTTTCCATTTTGCCAATGTTTGCTTTTCAATGTTTTGAATGAATCTTCTCTGCAAACTGCTAAGCTAATTGAACCACCACCATTTCAGCTGAAAAAACATCCCGCCTTGCCAAAGCACATTTGCTTGTGTACTCAACCATCACCAATGAAGGTGCCAGAGCTGGGGGAAATAGTCGTTTTTAGCCTAAAGGCCAGGTGCAGAAAGAGAAGTTTTTTTGTTTTGATGTGTTCTGTTTTGGGGAGGATGGGTGCTGACATTTAAAGGGCCCATTTCATGTTCTTAACATAATTTTGTTGTTGTTGTTCAGAAATGCAAAGAATGAGTAGCTCGAAGAGGTCAAGTGACTTGCCCAAGGAGATAGACAGAGGGTGGTGCAGAGTCCCCATGCTGCTGCCCTGTTCCAGCAATGACACACTGACTCAGGTCACAGGCCAGCCCTTGAACCACTAGAGAAATGTATTCTCCTCCCTGATACTGGATTTGATTCAATTAAAAGGCTGGGATTTAAACTCACTTCTATATTGCTCCTGTGCCCTTATTTGATTATGTCTTGTGTTTCAAGTATGTTCTTCAGCCTCTCATGAGGGTGAGGCTCTTCCCAAAAAAAGGCTTTTAAAAATATTTTCAAAAGGAGCATCAAAACTCTCCATGAATCAGATTTATTTGAACAAAGTATCATCTACTCTTATAAAAAAATCTAACTCATTCTGTTGACAGATTTATAAGACTGCGTTATTTCATCATAAAACCAGATACTGTATGTGTGATAAGGTTCAAGAAATGTGCCAGTGAATAGTTAGATTTCTCCTCTCCAAGTTCAAAATGTAACTTAGGACATGGGGGGAAAAGTGTCCACCGATGTTGCAGTGTAATTGGGGGTAAGTTGACTTGTAAGTCACCTTCAGAGAGAAGAGACACTGACACGTGGCAAACTTCATTAAAATTCTTAAAAAGGGAGAAATTGGATACTGAATTGGAAGTCACTTTGAATAAAGTACTTTTTGGTTTTCTTAATTAAATTGTGTTCAGCTCAAGGCTGAACTTCTTAACAATTGAAACCTACCTAGGTCTGGGCTAACTTCATCTGATATTGTGAGGCTATGTAGACTGTTCTATAAATGGGTAAGTTTCCAGATATGAGACACTGGCTGAGAATTATCTGTGTCCCCACACTCAGCACCCAGCTTGGTATTTTGCATATAGAACACATTTAATAAAACGTATGAAACAAAATTTAGGTTATACCCAAGTGACTGGGTACCTTAATACTTCGTGAGTTTTACCTTATAATTTTCCAAAGTCAGAACCCAGTCTTCTAAGGCGATAAAGGAATACGCTGATACTGTTCTGCATTAGTACATGGAGACACTGCATCTGATCAATGAAACAAATATAATACACTCAACCACCTCGTTTATTGACAGAGACTCTGAAAATTATCTGAATATAATGCTTATCTCTATAAAGCCCCCTGGAGTCCAAATAATAAATCATGTATTGAGTTATTATAAATTAAGTTGAATTACAAATAAATCATTGAGACTGTGATGAGGAGAGTAGCCAACAGTCTTGTAATTGGTACTATGTGTCCTGCACTGTTCTAAGTGCTCAGTGTTAACATGTTTACCATACGCTTGCACTGCAGTCCTTTCTTCATGTACAGATGGAGGAACTGAGGTACAGAGAGGTTAAGTAACTTGCCCAGCATTCACAGGACACAGCAGGGCTGGGCACCAGGATCCGGGCTATCTGGTTTCTTCCACATTCCACCTGCTGCTTCTTTACTTCCACATCATCTCCTGACATACTACACAGTGTTCATCTGCCCAACTTCCTTTTAAAAATTGTAGGCTGGGTGCGATGGCTCATGCCTGTAATCCTACAACTTTGGAAGGCTGAGGCGGGTGGATCATCTGAGGTCCGAAGTTCTAAATCAGCCTGGCCGACATGGCAAAACCCCGTCTCTACTAGAAATACAAAAATTGGTCAGGCATGGTGGCACACTCCTGTAATCCCAGCTACTCGGGAAGCTGAAGCAGGAGAATCACTTGAACCCGGGAGGTGGAGGTTGCAGTGTGCTGAGATCGCACCACTGTACTCCAGCCTGCGTGACAGAGCAAGATTCCACCTCAAAATTAATCATAATAATAATTTAAACCAAAATAGTTTCTGAACAGTGAATTTTACTACTTTTATGTTGATTTTTATTATTGGTACATTTATTTTTAACTACTATGTTTTATGAACTTTACCTAAACTATCTCACAAAATGGCCATGATAATTCTGGAACATGGTTATGTGAATTCCATTTTACAGTGGAGAACATGAAGATAGCAAGAGGTTAAGGATTCCGCCCAAAGTCTCAAAGCCAGTAAGTGCCAGAGATTGGATTCAAAAAAATGTTTGTTTGTTTTCTGACTCAAGTTGAGTTTGTGTGTGTGAGCGTGCACACACATGTTATGGTAACATTTAACGCACAGTAATTGCCTATTCTGAAATGGGAGTGCACAATGCTAAGAATAACTGGGCTCTACCTGAGGGTCCTCTACTTTGCTCTAGGTTCCCCCACTCTGCTCTGTTTTCTTCCATTGTTTAGAAGCAGCTTTTGGTCCATGTGTCTCTCTTCAGTCTCTTTCAGGAGGAATGGTGTGTTAAATCGTGATTCTGTAGAGCTCCTACTATTCTTTCCCTCTGTCTCTTATTTTCTTGCTTGGTATTTCAGTTTCTGTGAGTTGGCGTGAGGTGGGCTGGGGCGATCCCTGGGCGTGAGAGTGCATGTGCACATAGGCATTGCTTTGGAGAATCTCTGCTATTACTCAGAGCCCTTGTGGGCTGTTTCCTTGTTTGGCTTTTATCTTCTCACTGACAGTGTGGTTCTGAAAACTGGAGTCGTTGGTTTGTGAGTCTGTATTTAGAGCCCTTAAGAAGTTCTACGAACTTGCCCTTGCAAAGGAGAATGATGAGGACCAGAGCCCTGGCTGGGAAGGGCACTCGGGGTCAGGGGTCTGCATGGTGGCCCATGGGAGAAGGAGTAACTTATAGCACTCCAGAGAGCTGCTGTATTCCAGACACCCTTGTTTAGATGTGGAGCAGATGGGAGTATATGTTTCTCACCAAGGGTATCCATTGAGAGACTGCAGTTTCACTCTTGGCAAAAGGGGAATGTGTCCCTCTCTGTGCTCTTCCTGTGCAACAGGCATTTTTACTCTGTCCTCTGGCTGTCCATTATGGTCCTGTGACCCTCAAGGTCCAGAGAAGGTGGCTGGATTTGGAAGCATTCCCCAAGGATTCTGCAAATTCCCAGGAGGCTTGGGTCTCAGGGACACTTCTCGCTCCAAAATGCTGCAGTTCCCTGAGCAATCTGTGCTTTTGTTGATTTCAAATATGAATCTCAATCCTTTCCTTAAATTGGACCCTGGATCCTTCCCATCACCCTGACCAGGATGAGTCCACCAATAGCCAATGCTTCAGGCCAGCTCCTTCCCCTCCTTTGGCGCCTCTTCCATTGTCTGTGTGCCCCTGGTCCCTAACACAGGCTTATATTACTGTGGAAGTCAAAACATCTTTGTGTGATAGAAGGACCTCCACATTATGACCATTATATTTGGAGCCTGAATGCTAAAACCATCATTATTATTGTTCTCATATATGAACACCCACATGTCACGGCCCATGCAGTTACGATTTTGTTTCATTTACTCTCCTGACAAACACCCTGAGGTAGGCTAGAGATGAGGACTGGAGCTCTGGTGGGTAGAGCTATATTCCGCCCCCAAATTTATTTAGGTCCTGACCTCTGGTACCTGTGAATGTGAGTTTCTTTGAAAATAGGGTCTTTTTAGATACAGTCAGGTTAAGATGAAGTTATACTCTGGAGTAAGGTGAGCCCCAATCTAATGGCTGGTGTTTTTTATAAGAGGAGAAGACAGAGAGAGACACACAAGGGGACTGTTATATAAACACAGAACAGAGATTGGAACAATGCGTCTACAAGCCGGGGAGCACCAAGGACTGCTGGCAACCACCAGAAGCCAGGTGAATGCCTTGGATCAGATTCTCAGAGCCTCCAAAAGGAACCAGTCCTGCTGACACCTCAGTATCTGGCTTCTGGCCTCCTAAACGGTGAGAGAATACATTTCTGTTTTTCCAAGCCACTCAGATTCATTTACTTACATTACTACAGCCCCAGGATTCTAAAACGAGCTCTGAGGGGTTAAAGAATTTGCATGTGGTCACAGTGACATCAGGGGCCTGGTTGGGATTTGGCTATCTGTTAAGTCCAATTTGAGTTTTAAATGCATGAGCCCTTGCTTCTAGTCGAGCCCCTTTCCCCTGGCCGAGGGTCCACTTTTATAAACGTTCCTTGAGTGGTTGAGCTGCACTCAGCCTTAGAGAATTTCAGCTTGGTTTCCTGGAAATGCCTGTTTGCTATCACTCATGGGAAAGTCATTTATTTATAGGCACTAACTGTTCAAGGCCAACCTTTTCTTAACAAACGTTGAAGAGCTGGGAGACTTTGCATGTTGTGTAAGCTGAAGCTGGGTTGAAATGCAAAAGACGTATATTTCCATGGAAGTGTGAGTGTTTGTTTGCAAGTGTATGGGTTCTTTTGTTTTCTCCTTTGTTTAAAAGCAAAGCCTGTTTGTTACAGAGAATTGAAAACATGCAGAAAATCAAATGAAACGGGAGATGGATAAAGATCTATGCAGTTAACACCGTCATTTAGACTCCCAGGCCTTTTCCTGTCAGTTGTGCCTATATGTGAAAAAAAAATCCAGTCTGTTTAAATATTACATTTTTCCTGGATACGGAGAAGAACAGTGCAATCCATTGACAGAGAAGACAGGATAATCTCCTCATAAGTAGGCAGGAGAAGCATAAAACAGAACAGTGATTTTTAAGAGAAATCAAGCAAAAAAATCTAATCCACTAGTCACGGAGATAGAATAGAGATTTTGCAAGGCTTCCATTTAGAAGCGATGCTGGCATTCTTCCTAAACGCAACCTATGAATAATCAAGGACACGTGTTGGGGTCTCTCTCTGTGTCTTTGGGTCCTTGCTCAACAGTATGGGCTCTCAGACCTACTTGTTTATTTTACAGATGAGGAAATGGAAACTCTAAAAGGGAAGTGGAACGGACATTGCCAGATAGCCATTTAGTAGCAGAGGCTGTATGGGATCTCACTTTCTTCTCTCTGAGATCTGCATACCTTTTAGAAAAGTCTTTTTTTTTTTTTTTTTTGAGACAGAGTCTTGCTCAGCCACCCAGGCTGCAGTGCAGTGGTGTTATCTGGGCTCACTGCAACCACTGTCTCTCGGGTTCAAGTGATTCTTCCTTCTCAGCCTCCCGAATACCTGGGATTACAGGCACCCACCATCATGACCTGCTAATTTTTGTATTTTAGTAGAGACAGGGTTTCACCATGTTGGCCGGGCTGATCTTGAACTCCTGACCTCAGGTGATCTGCCTGCCTTGGGCTCCCAAAGTGCTAGGATTACAGAGGTGAGCCACCTTGCCCAGTCAAAAAGCCTTTTTGTTTTTTAATTACAAAAGTTGTATATGCTCTTTGAAGACAAATCCAAGCATGAGGGTACAGTGTGGGAAAAGCCCCTATTCCTGGCCTGACTCTTCTCTTTGCCTCGTGTTTGCTGTTATTGCCGTGTTTAAGTCCTATTATTCACAGCTCGTGAACATCTTTTCAGACCCAATTCAACACACAGGTACATTCACCTAGTCACCCCTCTGTATCCACGGTTCTGCATATGAAGATTCAACCAACGGCTGAGTAAATCAACTGCAGTTGAAAATATTTGGAAAAAATACAACAATTAAAAATAACACAAAGTTAAGAAATGATACAGTATAACAACTACTGACCCAGCAGCTGCATTGTATTAGTAATTGAGATAGAATTTAAAGTACATGGGAGATGTACATAGTTTATATGCAAATGCTATGCTCTTTTATATCAGGGACTTGATTGTCCAGGCATAGATTTTGGTATCCACAGGAGGTAAGGAGAGGACCTTGGAACCAGCCTTCTGCAGCTACCGACGGATTACTGTATGTTCATTCCCAGGCTTTATAAAATAGAAATATAGCAGCTTGCCTGTTAAAAACTTAATATATAATAAATGTTTCCATATTAGTACATATGTTTGTGCCCACCTTAAAACAAAACAAAACAAAATATATGAACAGTATTCCGTAATAAAGATAAATATAATATATTAGGTTGGTGCAAAAGTGCGTGTTTTTTGCCATTAAAAACATTGGCATCATATGCTTTGTAATGGCACTTAAAAAGTTTCCAGATTTTAAGGTATTGCCAGTGATGCTTTATGACACCCCAAAACCTGTTTGATGCACAAGACTAAACACCTCTGTCACCTTCTAAAAGTGCAATCATTGGATCAAAGGGTTGGGGGATATCAACATTTTAGTCAAAAATTTCAAGTTGTATCTTATAATTTATTTTCAGTAACTGTTTCCGTTTATATTGCTGAGTCATAATCTTCAACCATTCTATGATTTTTTAAAAATTGGCAATGATAATTTTAATCTCCAAGAATTAATCTTCTTAGTTTATTCTTTCTCTGTCTCTGTCTCTGTCTCTCTCTCTCTCTTTTTTTTTTTTTTTCTGTTTGTGGCAGCCTGCCCTTCTTCTGGGTATGCAATAGCTTAATAAATCTTTTGCTGGTATTATTTGGAAGGAGAATAGGGAAATTAAAGAAAGCATGGCCCGATTTTCTAGTCTATCTTTCTTTCCTCATGTTCTGAAGCCCTGTAATGATGGGCTTAAGTCTGGATCCTGGCTCTGGCTCCTACTAGCTGTGGGACTTTGAGAGGTTGCTTAACCTCTCTGTGTTTCTGTTTCCTTATCTATTAAACGGGTTGGCTGCTGTACCTTCCTCAAAGAATTTTGTGAGGCTTAAAGGGTCAAACAAGGCAGTAGGTACAATGAGCGTAGATGTTGTCATGCATATGGTAAGAGCTCAAAGTGAATTCTGATTGTTATTTGATGCTGTCTGCTGATTTTACTGAAATATCTAGGGATCCCTGGACCTAGACTGCTACTGATAAGGAAATCACTACAGGAATTATGGTAGATGGGTGCTGTGGGTTTCCTCAGCACTTTTCATTATTATTATTATTATTATTACACTTGAAGTTCTGGGATACATGCGCAGAATGTGCAGGTTTGTTGCACAGGTATACATGTGCCATGGTGGTTTGCTGCACCCATCAACCCATCATCTACATTAGGTATTTCTCCTAATGCCATCCCTCCCCTAGTCCTTCACCCCCTAACAGGTGACAATGTGTGATGTTCCCCTCCCTGTATCCATGTGTTCTCATTGTTCAACTCCCACTTATGAATGAGAACATGCACTCTTTGGTTTTCTGTTCCTGTGTTAGTTTGCTGAGAATGATGGTTTTCAGCTTCATCCATGTCCCTGAAAAGACATTAACTCATCTTTTTTGGGGTGCATAGTATTCCGTGATGTATATGTGTCACTTTATCTTGTCTATCATTGATGGGCATTTGGGTTAGTTCCAAGTCTTTGCTATTGTGAACAGTGCTGCAATAAACATATGTAACACTTGTTTCTTTTATCTGTACAGAAATCTCCTCTATAAGGAGATTTTGGGCCATGTAGGTTGATGAGAGGAAAATGCAAACAGGTAGCTACAGGGAGAGCCTTGGAAAGCAAGCCAAGGGCACCGCTGTAATTGACAAGGCAGGATTTGTAATTGACAAGGTGTGATGGTGCTACATTGTCAGCCAAGCCCTGTCATTATTTCATTACTTTTAGAGCACAGATGTCGTTTGTCCCCCCTCCCTCCCTCCCTCCCTCCCTCCCTCCCTTCCTTCCTTCCTTCCTTCCTTCCTTTTCATTTATTTCCTTCTCTCTCTCTCTCTCTTTCTCTTTTCTTTTTTCCTCCATTCCATTGCCCTTGATACCTTGGTTTTCTGTAGAGGTTAAGACTTCCAAGGTCCTGCTCTACCCATCTCTCTAAAAGGAATGGGCTCCCAGGACAAACATTAACCCCATTCCCTGCTTTTACTCATTCATTTATTTGCCAAATACTTATGGGAAACCCTTGCTGGTCCCTATTCCAGGCATAGATGGTACTATAATAAACAAATTGGCCCTACTCTCATGATGCTTAAGTCTAGTGTTGGGCTGGGTACAGTGGCTCACACCTATAATCCCAGCTCTTAGGGAGGTAGAGATGGGCGGATAGCTTGAACTCAGGAGTTCAAGACCTGGCTGGGCAATTATAGTGAGATCCCATTCTCCACAAAAAGGAAACACGCACACACACACACACACACACACACACACAAAATAAACAAGTGTGTCTAGTGTTGGGGCGGGGAGGCTCATGCAGACCATAAACAAGTACAAACACAGGTGAGAATGCGCTGAATGATGCTTTGGTCTGATGTTTTATTCTCAGTTGTGGAAGAAATTAAGTGACTAGAGACAGGTGTGTTTTGCTGTGAAGATCAGATGAACAGAATTCAGGAACATCAGGATGGTTGCTGCCCAGGGCAGGATGTAAGGGTTTCCAAGCCTCACTTCTAATGAGGACACCTCCTGGGTTTCTTAAAAAGCTGGAGGTGGCCAGGTGGGCTTTGTGGGCAGAAGTGACAGGGCTGAAGGCAGCAGGGCAGTTTCCTCAAAACCTTTATGGGCAGCAGTGATTTCTCATCAGGCTTTGTTTGGGGCATTGCTGGAACTCTACACATGAGTTTAATTTCCAGCCTTCCTCCAAATTAAGTGAGCTGTCAGTATCCTTTTTAAACACCTTTTCTCTGTTTAAGCAAACAGAATCATCTTTCATTGCTTGCAGCCAAGACCTCCAGTTAAGGAGCATGCAGTTGAGGAGCACACTATGTCAATCAAACATTGTTTCCGCACATTAAATTGCACTAAATCCTTCCAACAGGTGTGTGATAGAGACTTCTTATCATTGTAAAGGCAAGAACATTAAGACTAAAAAACACAGTGAAGGGCTCAGGGTTTCACAGCCAGACCAAGCCAGCATGCAAATGCTAGCCCACTTAGCTCTCAGTCTGTGTTTTTTTTTTAATTTATATTTTTTTCTATA